ACAGTGTCTGGAGCCGTCAGTGTAACACAACAACAGTGTCTGGAGCCGTCAGTGTAACACAACAGTGTCTGGAACCGTCAGTGTAACACAACAGTGTCTGGAGCCGTCAGTATAACACAACAAGTGTCTGGAGCCGTCAGTATAACACAACAAGTGTCTGGAGCCGTCAGTATAACACAACAAGTGTCTGGAGCCGTCAGTATAACACAACAAGTGTCTGGAGTCGTCAATGTAACACAACAGTGTCTGGAGCCGTCAGTATAACACAACAAGTGTCTGGAGCCGTCAGTGTAACACAACAGTGTCTGGAGCCGTCAGTGTAACACAACAGTGTCTGGAGCCGTCAGTATAACACAACAACAGTGTCTGGAACCGTCAGTGTAACACAACAACAGTGTCTGGAACCGTCAGTGTAACACAACAAGTGTCTGGAGCCGTCAGTATAACACAACAAGTGTCTGGAGCCGTCAGTGTAACACAACAACAGTGTCTGGAGCCGTCAGTGTAACACAACAAGTGTCTGGAGCCGTCAGTATAACACAACAAGTGTCTGGAGCCGTCAGTGTAACACAACAAGTGTCTGGAGCCGTCAGTATAACACAACAAGTGTCTGGAGCCGTCAGTGTAACACAATAACAGTGTCTGGAGCCGTCAGTGTAACACAACAAGTGTCTGGAGCCGTCAGTGTAACACAACAACAGTGTCTGGAGCGTCAGTGTAACACAACAAGTGTCTGGAGCCATCAGTGTAACACAACAAGTGTCTGGAGCCGTCAGTGTAACACAACAACAGTGTCTGGAACCGTCAGTATAACACAACAAGTGTCTGGAGCCGTCAGTATAACACAACAAGTGTCTGGAGCCGTCAGTGTAACACAACAACAGTGTCTGGAGCCGTCAGTGTAACACAACAAGTGTCTGGAGCCGTCAGTATAACACAACAAGTGTCTGGAGCCGTCAGTATAACACAACAACAGTGTCTGGAGCCGTCAGTGTAACACAACAAGTGTCTGGAGCCGTCAGTATAACACAACAAGTGTCTGGAGCCGTCAGTATAACACAACAACAGTGTCTGGAGCCGTCAGTGTAACACAACAAGTGTCTGGAGCCGTCAGTATAACACAACAAGTGTCTGGAGCCGTCAGTATAACACAACAACAGTGTCTGGAGCCGTCAGTGTAACACAACAAGTGTCTGGAGCCGTCAGTATAACACAACAAGTGTCTGGAGCCGTCAGTATAACACAACAACAGTGTCTGGAGCCGTCAGTGTAATACAACAGTGTCTGGAGCCGTCAGTGTAACACAATAACAGTGTCTGGAGCCGTCAGTATAACACAACAGTGTCTGGAGCCGTCAGTATAACACAACAACAGTGTCTGGAGCCGTCAGTATAACACAACAGTGTCTGGAGCCGTCAGTGTAACACAATAACAGTGTCTGGAGCCGTCAGTATAACACAACAAGTGTCTGGAGCCGTCAGTATAACACAACAAGTGTCTGGAGCCGTCAGTGTAACACAACAACAGTGTCTGGAGCCGTCAGTGTAACACAACAGTGTCTGGAGCCGTCAGTATAACACAACAGTGTCTGGAGCCGTCAGTGTAACACAACAGTGTCTGGAGCCAACAGTGTAACACAACAGTGTCTGGAGCCATCAGTGTAACACAACAGTGTCTGGAGCCGTCAGTATAACACAACAGTGTCTGGAGCCGTCAGTGTAACACAACAGTGTCTGGAGCCGTCAGTGTAACACAACAAGTGTCTGGAGCCGTCAGTGTAACACAATAACAGTGTCTGGAGCCGTCAGTGTAACACAATAAGTGTCTGGAGCCGTCAGTATAACACAACAAGTATCTGGAGCCATCAGTATAACACAACAAGTATCTGGAGCCATCAGTGTAACACAACAACAGTGTCTGGAGCCATCAGTGTAACACAATAACAGTGTCTGGAGCCGTCAGTGTAACACAACAGTGTCTGGAGCCATCAGTGTAACACAACAGTGTCTGGAGCCATCAGTGTAACACAACAGTGTCTGGAGCCGTCAGTATAACACAACAGTGTCTGGAGCCGTCAGTGTAACACAACAGTGTCTGGAGCCGTCAGTGTAACACAACAAGTGTCTGGAGCCGTCAGTGTAACACAATAACAGTGTCTGGAGCCGTCAGTGTAACACAATAAGTGTCTGGAGCCGTCAGTATAACACAACAAGTATCTGGAGCCATCAGTATAACACAACAAGTATCTGGAGCCATCAGTGTAACACAACAACAGTGTCTGGAGCCATCAGTATAACACAACAAGTATCTGGAGCCATCAGTGTAACACAAGAACAGTGTCTGGAGCCGTCAGTGTAACACAATAACAGTGTCTGGAGCCGTCAGTATAACACAACAAGTGTCTGGAGCCGTCAGTATAACACAACAGTGTCTGGAGCCGTCAGTATAACACAACAAGTGTCTGGAGCCGTCAGTGTAACATAATAACAGTGTCTGGAGCCGTCAGTGTAACACAACAAGTGTCTGGAGTCGTCAGTATAACACAACAAGTGTCTGGAGCCGTCAGTGTAACACAACAACAGTGTCTGGAGCCGTCAGTATAACACAACAAGTGTCTGGAGCCGTCAGTATAACACAACAGTGTCTGGAGCCGTCAGTGTAACACAACAACAGTGTCTGGAGCCGTCAGTATAACACAACAGTGTCTGGAGCCGTCAGTGTAACACAATAACAGTGTCTGGAGCCGTCAGTGTAACACAACAAGTGTCTGGAGCCGTCAGTATAACACAACAAGTGTCTGGAGCCGTCAGTATAACACAACAAGTGTCTGGAGCCGTCAGTATAACACAACAAGTGTCTGGAGCCGTCAGTATAACACAACAAGTGTCTGGAGCCGTCAGTATAACACAACAAGTGTCTGGAGCCGTCAGTGTAACACAACAAGTGTCTGGAGCCGTCAGTATAACACAACAAGTGTCTGGAGCCGTCAGTATAACACAACAAGTGTCTGGAGCCGTCAGTGTAACACAACAGTGTCTGGAGCCGTCAGTATAACACAACAACAGTGTCTGGAGCCGTCAGTGTAACACAACAGTGTCTGGAGCCGTCAGTATAACACAACAGTGTCTGGAGCCGTCAGTGTAACACAATAACAGTGTCTGGAGCCGTCAGTATAACACAACAAGTGTCTGGAGCCGTCAGTATAACACAACAAGTGTCTGGAGCCGTCAGTGTAACAACAACAGTGTCTGGAGCCGTCAGTATAACACAACAAGTGTCTGGAGCCATCAGTGTAACACAACAGTGTCTGGAGCCATCAGTGTAACACAACAGTGTCTGGAGCCGTCAGTGTAACACAACAGTGTCTGGAGCCATCAGTGTAACACAACAGTGTCTGGAGCCATCAGTGTAACACAACAGTGTCTGGAGCCGTCAGTATAACACAACAGTGTCTGGAGCCGTCAGTATAACACAACAGTGTCTGGAGCCGTCAGTATAACACAACAGTGTCTGGAGCCGTCAGTGTAACACTACAAGTGTCTGGAGCCGTCAGTATAACACAACAGTGTCTGGAGCCGTCAGTGTAACACTACAAGTGTCTGGAGCCGTCAGTGTAACACAACAGTGTCTGGAGCCGTCAGTGTAACACAACAAGTGTCTGGAGCCGTCAGTATAACACAACAGTGTCTGGAGCCGTCAGTATAACACAACAGTGTCTGGAGCCGTCAGTATAACACAACAGTGTCTGGAGCCGTCAGTATAAGACAATAACAGTGTCTGGAGCCATCAGTGTAACACAACAAGTGTCTGGAGCCATCAGTGTAACACAACAGTGTCTGGAGCCATCAGTGTAACACAACAGTGTCTGGAGCCGTCAGTATAAGACAATAACAGTGTCTGGAGCCGTCAGTGTAACACAACAAGTGTCTGGAGCCATCAGTGTAACACAACAGTGTCTGGAGCCATCAGTGTAACACAACAACAGTGTCTGGAGCCGTCAGTGTAACACAACAGTGTCTGGAGCCGTCAGTGTAACACAACAAGTGTCTGGAGCCGTCAGTATAACACAACAACAGTGTCTGGAGCCGTCAGTGTAACACAATAACAGTGTCTGGAGCCGTCAGTGTAACACAACAGTGTCTGGAGCCGTCAGTGTAACACAACAAGTGTCTGGAGCCGTCAGTATAACACAACAGTGTCTGGAGCCGTCAGTATAAGACAATAACAGTGTCTGGAGCCGTCAGTGTAACACAACAGTGTCTGGAGCCGTCAGTATAACACAACAAGTGTCTGGAGCCGTCAGTGTAACACAACAAGTGTCTGGAACCGTCAGTATAACACAACAGTGTCTGGAGCCGTCAGTGTAACACAACAGTGTCTGGAGCCGTCAGTGTAACACAAGTGTCTGGAGCCGTCAGTGTAACACAACAAGTGTCTGGAGCCGTCAGTGTAACACAACAGTGTCTGGAGCCGTCAGTGTAACACAATAACAGTGTCTGGAGCCGTCAGTGTAACACAATAAGTGTCTGGAGCCGTCAGTATAACACAACAAGTATCTGGAGCCATCAGTATAACACAACAAGTATCTGGAGCCATCAGTGTAACACTACAACAGTGTCTGGAGCCATCAGTATAACACAACAAGTATCTGGAGCCGTCAGTGTAAAACAACAAGTGTCTGGAGCCGTCAGTGTAACACAAGAACAGTGTCTGGAGCCGTCAGTGTAACACAACAAGTGTCTGGAGCCGTCAGTGTAACACAAGAACAGTGTCTGGAGCCGTCAGTGTAACACAATAACAGTGTCTGGAGCCGTCAGTGTAACACAATAACAGTGTCTGGAGCCGTCAGTATAAGACAATAACAGTGTCTGGAGCCGTCAGTGTAACACAACAAGTGTCTGGAGCCGTCAGTGTAAGACAATAACAGTGTCTGGAGCCGTCAGTGTAACACAACAAGTGTCTGGAGCCGTCAGTGTAACTCCCCCTCCCCCGACACTCACTGCAGTATACTGGTTTTTCTCCTGGAGCAGAACGATGGCGAGGAGGACCAGCTTGAGGGCCAGGTCCACCCCGTTCACCATGATGAGTGACTTCTGCCGCTGTCTGTGGGAGTACCGCTGGAAAGCCACCTCCAGCTGCTGGTCCCGGAAGCTGCAGGAGAGAGAGACCCACTGTCAGAGTCATTGGGACGGAGGGAGAGTGTGAGAGAGACTGTGGGACGGAGGGAGAGTGTGAGAGAGACTGTGGGATGGAGGGAGAGTGTGAGACACACTGTGGGATGGAGAGAGAGTGTGAGAGACTGTGGGACGGAGGGAGAGTGTGAGACACACTGTGGGATGGAGAGAGAGTGTGAGAGAGACTGTGGGACGGAGGGAGAGTGTGAGACACACTGTGGGATGGAGAGAGAGTGTGAGAGAGACTGTGGGACGGAGGGAGAGTGTGAGAGAGACTGTGGGACGGAGGGAGAGTGTGAGAGAGACTGTGGGACGGAGGGAGAGTGTGAGAGAGACTGTGGGATGGAGGGAGAGTGTGAGAGAGACTGTGGGACGGAGGGAGAGTGTGAGAGAGACTGTGGGACGGAGGGAGAGTGTGAGAGAGACTGTGGGATGGAGGGAGAGTGTGAGAGAGACTGTGGGACGGAGGGAGAGTGTGAGACACACTGTGGGACGGAGAGAGAGTGTGAGAGAGACTGTGGGACGGAGGGAGAGTGTGAGAGAGACTGTGGGATGGAGGGAGAGTGTGAGAGAGACTGTGGGACGGAGGGAGAGTGTGAGACACACTGTGGGATGGAGGGAGAGTGTGAGAGAGACTGTGGGACGGAGGGAGAGTGTGAGACACACTGTGGGATGGAGGGAGAGTGTGAGAGAGACTGTGGGATAGAGGGAGAGTGTGAGAGAGACTGTGGGACGGAGGGAGAGTGTGAGAGAGACTGTGGGACGGAGGGAGAGTGTGAGAGAGACTGTGGGACGGAGGGAGAGTGTGAGAGAGACTGTGGGATGGAGGGAGAGTGTGAGAGAGACTGTGGGACGGAGGGAGAGTGTGAGAGAGACTGTGGGACGGAGGGAGAGTGTGAGAGACTGTGGGATGGAGGGAGAGTGTGAGAGAGACTGTGGGATGGAGGGAAAGTGAGAGAGAGACTGTGGGACGGAGGGAGAGTGTGAGAGAGACTGTGGGACGGAGGGAGAGTGTGAGAGAGACTGTGGGATGGAGGGAGAGTGTGAGAGAGACTGTGGGACGGAGGGAGAGTGTGAGAGAGACTGTGGGACGGAGGGAGAGTGTGAGAGAGACTGTGGGATGGAGGGAGAGTGTGAGAGAGACTGTGGGACGGAGGGAGAGTGTGAGAGAGACTGTGGGACGGAGGGAGAGTGTGAGAGACTGTGGGATGGAGGGAGAGTGTGAGAGACAATGTGGGATGGAGGGAAAGTGAGAGAGAGACTGTGGGACGGAGGGAGAGTGTGAGAGAGACTGTGGGATGGAGGGAGAGTGTGAGAGAAACTGTGGGACGGAGGGAGAGTGAGAGAGAGACTGTGGGATGGAGGGAAAGTGAGAGAGAGACTGTGGGACGGAGGGAGAGTGTGAGAGAGACTGTGGGACGGAGGGAGAGTGTGAGAGAGACTGTCGGACGGAGGGAGAGTGTGAGAGAAACTGTGGGATGGAGGGAAAGTGTGAGAGAGAGATAGCTGTTGAAGAGAGAGAGAGAGAGATAGAGGAGAGAGAGTGTGATTCACGAAGCAGTTACGCAGGCACTTACGAACGTGTACATCTTTCCTCAATCTTTGACGGCTTTGGTTACATTTATTAAACAGTTTACAAGCATGAAAACTTGCCAGTCAACTGTTGTTATTGTTATAAACAGCCTCCTGGTGCTTCGGAGCTCATTAACTGTTTAATAATCGCAAACAAAGCCGCCAAAGATTGAGAAAAGATGGACAAGTTCGTAAGTGCTTGCGTAACTGCTTCGTGAATCTAGCCCTCTGGCCTACTAGGTCATAAATAAATTAAATTATCTATAACTAGGTCATAGATTAAAAAAAATCTGTCAAAATTCACTGCTTGAGGCAGACCCTCCTCAGTGGCTATTGAAAGGTACCAGATTATTTACCAGTGAAGAAGACAGGATCATTCTTACCTGCCAGTAAAGTGTGCCAAATCAGTTTGACTGTCAGTCATGTTCCCTGTCAAGAGAGTAAGCAGGGGCACATATTTACCTGTTGGTGAGTGTGGGGAAGTACACGCCATGACACACATGGCCCCTCTTGAAGATCTGCCCTGTGGGATCCGCCTCTCTGGTCGAGCTGGTCCGGTCAATTACTGTCAACGGAGAAGTCAATTTGTTAATTTATCATTTAGATTATTTAGATATAGATATGCATGTGTATATATATACACACACACTAGGGACGATCTCTGATGCTTCCCAAGCATGGTAATACACCTGGTATGGCAATACAACATACACATGGCTTAAGAAGTTACAATATGTGTGTGTGTGTGTAGATGTGTGTGTGTGTGTGTGTGTGTGTAGGTGTGTGTGTGTGTGTGTGTGTGTGTGTGTGTGTGTGTGTGTGTGTGTGTGTGTGTGTGTGTGTGTGTGTGTGTGTAGGTGTGTGTGTGTGTAGGTGTGTGTAGGTGTGTGTGTGTGTGTAGGTGTGTGTGTGTGTGTAGGTGTGTGTAGGTGTGTGTATTCAGCAGGTATTCATGTCAGAGTATCAGAACCTGCTGCTATTTCTGAATGCATGTGTTTATTGACAGATACTTTCCAAGACCCGCTGATTTAGTGGACAGGGAGAGAGACAGTCACCAGTCTGTTAATAGACAGACACAAAGTGTTTTCAGTCTGTCCAGTCGGGACTCTTTTTTTTTTTTTTGCTGGAGGTGACAGTGTTGAGATACTTTTCAGTCCGGGGTCATTACACCAACCTGTGTCATCGTTATCGCTCTCTGTCATGCGTGTGACGGTGAGTATTGACGCGCCACGGATCAAGATGACTGTCATGGGTGACACGAGATCAAATTAGGTGATTATGAAGTCGAGAGGGAACAATGATTAAGCTTCCTTAATTACCTACACCACTCCCATGGGCGTAGATATTGATCTATACTTACTTACCACTAGAAATATTCCCCCCCATTTGTCATTAGATATTCCTCTTATTACAGCAAGAAATACTTCCCCTTCCAGTCACGAAATCATCTCAACATTCCCCAAAGATATCAAGATGAGTGTCATGGGTGACACGAGATCAAATCACGAGGGGCCTCGTAGCCTGGTGGATAGCGCGCAGCACTCGTAATTCTGTGGCGCGGGTTCGATTCCCGCACGAGGCAGAAACAAATGGGCAAAGTTTCTTTCACCCTGAATGCCCCTGTTACCTAGCAGTAAATAGGTACCTGGGAGTTAGTCAGCTGTCACGGGCTGCTTCCTAGGGGTGGAGGCCTGGTCGAGGACCGGGCCGCGGGGACACTAAAGCCCCGAAATCATCTCAAGATAACCTCAAGAAGATATTACCACCCTCAATTTCCCAAAGAGATACGCCCTCTCTCTCCCGCAAGATTAATGTGCCCTTATCCACAGAAATATTCACGGATATCTCAATATATCTACAGAGTAAAATTAAGCTATTCACTGAAGGATTAATTCTTTAACTCGGGGGTCTTAGGTATTATTAAGTGGTGGAGTATTTATATTAAGTATGAATAAAAATACTATTGTTGATTCACTTATGACATTTAAAAGTAGCAGTGAAGACATCTTAAGTTCCAATGAAGACATGTTAAGTACAATGATATGTAAGTAATATATTTCATTACTTCATATGAAGTATTATTAATACATGTGCAGTCATTCATAACTATCCATTACGATATTCAGTTAAGTACCCATTAAACTTCAAATAGCCATTCCCAAAATTATTTAATTACTTAACCGTAATACAACGTATTCCAAACGTCTCTTAACCGTATCACCACAACGTTAGATAGTTAAGTAGTTCTCTATCAGTCATTATAGAATTAATTACAAAGGATGTGGCTCCAATTTCCTGGAAGAATTGGCCGCCAACTGTACGTAGTTAGCTAAACGAGACTCTTGGCTCATCTCAACTCATTTAGGCGTTATTTGTAAAATTATTGTTTACATTAAAAGTTAATTCGAAATTATGGGATGAGGGTCTGGTGAGCCTTTATTTTGAAATACAAATATTTTAGAAGAATATTAGCAATTTCTTAATTTTTTGTTTGCTGGGGTGGGCACACAATCTTTAATGTCAAGTGGAAAGTCATTAATTTTCGAAAGTCATAACAATTTAACTGAAATTTAATTTAGAAAGTTAAAACTTGCTCGGCGCCATTACCTTTGGGAGGAGGTTTGAAGGTGGGGTTAGGGTGAGGTCTTTGATACATGTGAAGAGTACCGGTCTGGGGTGTACTTTCCTCTAGTTAGTTCACCATGATTGGTTGTTCAGACTAGACCCCCCCCCCAGTCCAGAACCCCAGCACCTCACACAGCCCCCCAGCACCTCACAGAGCCACGATGGGTATTATCCATCACTTCATCATGACTAAGAAGACGCCATTCATCAATGTCACCGACCGGTGACAGTCGCTCTACTTAGCTCCATGTACGGCGCCTTTCTCAGGCACGGTGGCCCTCCCAGGCACGGTGGCCCTCCCTGGCACGGTGGCCCTCCCAGGCACGGTAGCCCTCCCTGGCACGGTGGCCCTCCCAGGCACGGTGGCCGTCCCTTGCACGGTGGTCCTCCCTGGCACGGTGGCCCTCCCTGGCACGGTGGTCCTCCCTGGCACGGTGGCCCTCCCTGGCACGGTGGCCCTCCCTGGCACGTTGGTCCTCCCTGGCACGGTGGCCCTCCCTGGCACGGTGGCCCTCCCTGGCACGGTGGTCCTCCCTGGCACGGTGTTCCTCCCTGGCACGGTGGCCCACCTTGGCACGATGGCCCTCCCTGGCACGGTGGCCCTCCCTGGCACGGTGGCCCTCCCTGGCACGGTGGCCCTCCATGGCACGGTGGCCCTCCCTGGCACGGTGGCCCTCCCTGGCACGGTGGCCCTCCCAGGCACGGTGGCCCTCCCTGGCACGGTGGCCCTCCCTGGCACGGTGGCCCTCCCTGGCACGGTGGCCCTCCCTGGCACGGTGGCTCTCCCTGGCACGGTGGCCCTTCCTGGCACGGTGGCCCTCCCTGGCACGGTGGCCCTCCCTGGCACGGTGGTCCTCCCTGGCACGGCGGCCCTCCCTGGCACGGTGGTCCTTCCTGGCACGGTGGTCCTCCCTGGCACGGTGGCCCTCCCTGGCACGGTGGCCCTCCCTGGCACGGTGGTCCTCCCTGGCACGGTGGCCCTCCCTGGCACGGTGGCCCTCACAGGCACGGTGGCCCTCCCAGGCACGGTGGTCCTCCCTGGCACGGTGGTCCTCCCTGGCACGGTGGCCCTCCCTGGCACGGTGGTCCTCCCAGGCACGGTGGCCCTCCCTGGCACGGTGGTCCTCCCAGGCACGGTGGCCCTCCCTGGCACGGTGGCCCTCCCTGGCACGGTGGTCCTCCCAGGCACGGTGGTCCTCCCAGGCACGGTGGCCCTCCCTGACACGGTGGCCCTCCCAGGCACGGTGGTCCTCCCTGGCACGGTGGTCCTCCCAGGCACGGTGGCCCTCCCTGGCACGGTGGTCCTCCCTGGCACGGTGGTCCTCCCAGGCACGGTGGTCCTCCCTGGCACGGTGGCCCTCCCAGGCACGGTGGCCCTCCCATATGCAGGCACGGTGGTCCTCCCAGGCACGGTGGCCCTCCCTGGCACGGTGGCCCTCCCTGGCACGGTGGCCCTCCCAGGCACGGTGGCCCTCCCAGGCACGGTGGTCCTCCCTGGCACGGTGGTCCTCCCAGGCACGGTGACCCTCCCTGGCACGGTGGCCCTCCCTGGCACGGTGGCCCTCCCTGGCACGGTGGTCCTCCCTGGCACGGTGACCCTCCCTGGCACGGTGGCCCTCCCTGGCACGGTGGCCCTCCCTGGCACGGTGGCCCTCCCTGGCACGGTGGTCCTCCCTGGCACGGTGGTCCTCCCTGGCACGGTGACCCTCCCTGGCACGGTGGCCCTCCCTGGCACGGTGGTCCTCCCTGGCACGGTGGCCCTCCCTGGCACGGTGGTCCTCCCTGGCACGGTGGTCCTCCCAGGCACGGTGGCCCTCCCAGGCATGGTGGACCTCCCTGGCACGGTGGCCCTCCCTGGCACGGTGACACTCCCTGGCACGGTGGTCCTCCCAGGCACGGTGGTCCTCCCAGGCACGGTGGCCCTCCCTGGCACGGTGGCCCTCCCTGGCACGGTGGACCTCCCTGGCACGGTGGACCTCCCTGGCACGGTGGTCCTCCCTGGCACGGTGACCCTCCCTGGCACGGTGGCCCTCCCTGGCACGGTGATCCTCCCTGGCACGGTGACCCTCCCTGGCACGGTGGTCCTCCCTGGCACGGTGGTCCTCCCTGGCACGGTGGCCCTCCCTGGCACGGTGGACCTCCCTGGCACGGTGACCCTCCCTGGCACGGTGACCCTCCCTGGCACGGTGGTCCTCCCAGGCACGGTGGCCCTCCCTGGCACGGTGGCCCTCCCTGGCACGGTGGTCCTCCCTGGCACGGTGGTCCTCCCTGGCACGGTGGCCCTCCCTGGCACGGTGGTCCTCCCTGGCACGGTGGCCCTCCCTGGCACGGTGGCCCTCCCTGGCACGGTGGCCCTCCCTGGCACGGTGGTCCTCCCTGGCACGGTGACCCTCCCTGGCACGGTGACCCTCCCTGGCACGGTGGCCCTCCCTGGCACGGTGGCCCTCCCTGGCACGGTGGCCCTCCCTGGCACGGTGACCCTCCCAGGCACGGTGGCCCTCCCAGGCACCGCGTCAACACCACACACAAACCCCCACATCCTGCAACAAGCACACTGCAGAGGCCCATTATTTGCCCGGCCGGCACAAGCAATGTGTTGGTAACACGTGCAACACTAACCTCAGCCACCAGACCAAATTACGCAGCGCAGACCTGCTGTAACACACACACACACACACACACACACACGCACGCACACACACACACACACACACACACACACACACACACACACACACACACACACACACACGACGCAGACTCTGCCACCCACTGTGAGGTTAAACAGGCAGGTCACGCTCCCTCTCGCTAACGAAGCAGGTATAGCGAGTGTTACGGGAACGTTACACTGCCCCCGCCCCCCTCCCCACACGCACGCAACAGCGCACGCAAATGAGACAAAAAGAGCCGTGAAGTATATACTTCATTTACACTTCTAAATGGGAAGTTATTCAGGCTATTCAGTACAAAAAATATATAAAACTGTCCAATTTATATGTACAAGAGACAGTGTCTAGCTAAGGTTGGAGGGCCGAGGCTTGCGGCTAGCCTCGCTCAACTTTGCAGGGGGAATGATCTGAGGTATGGGGCGAACATAGACTTATCAGGGTCGGTCCTAATGGTCGTATATAAAAGAGAGGGAGCCCGAGTTCCTAGATTTCTTCACTTGACAGTGATGAAAGAGAAAATTCAGTATTAAATGGAAATGTCTGACTGTTCGACGCTCGAAGCCAGACGGGGAATGAGGGGGGGGGGGTGAGAAGGGGGGGATGAGGAGGGGGGAATGGCGGGAGGGAAGAGGGGGCGGGAAAGGAGAAAGTGGAAAAGGAGGTGAGGAAAGAGGAAATATAATAATAAAAACATAATAATGAGAGCTCTGTCACGTCGAAAAGACATAATAATGAGAGCTCTGTCACGTCGAAAAGACATAATAATGAGAGCTCTGTCACGTCGAAAAGACATAATAATGAGAGCTCTGTCACGTCGAAAAGACATAATAATGAGAGCTCTGTCACGTCGAAAAGACATAATAATGAGAGCTCTGTCACGTCGAAAAGACATAATAATGAGAGCTCTGTCACGTCGAAAAGACATAATAATGAGAGCTCTGGCACGTCGAAAAGACATAATAATGAGAGCTCTGTCACGTCGAAAAGACATAATAATGAGAGCTCTGTCACGTCGAAAAGACATAATAATGAGAGCTCTGTCACGTCGAAAAGACATAATAATGAGAGCTCTGTCACGTCGAAAAGACATAATAATGAGAGCTCTGTCACGTCGAAAAGACATAATAATGAGAGCTCTGTCACGTCGAAAAGACATAATAATGAGAGCTCTGTCACGTCGAAAAGACATAATAATGAGAGCTCTGTCACGTCGAAAAGACATAATAATGAGAGCTCTGTCACGTCGAAAAGACATAATAATGAGAGCACTGTCACGTCGAAAGACATAATAAATGCCCCAGAGCCAGGAGGCGGGAGTGTAGAGCTAGCCCTCACTTCCCCCTAGACAAAACAAGACCACCACTCGTAGGTACAGACGTACACAGAAGTCCCCCTCGGCCACACCTCCTGGTCAACCTACTCCCACCACACAGCTCCTGCGGTTCAAATTAAATATAGAACAAATTGTTTTGAGTGGAGTGTGGGTAGCCGGGCCGTGCAGAGCGCCTTCCCCTTCCCTCTGCCGCTGGTAAATCAGCTTAATATCGCCCTCACCCTCTAAGCTCGGCCTCAAAACTCACTCTACAAAGGAAGCCATTACCAATGCCCTTTTGGAAGGAGGGGGGAAGCCCAGCTTTAAATAGAATGTGTTGGATATAAGGCTCTTGTGTGTGTGCGCGTGTGTGTGTGTGTGTGTGTGTGTGTGTGTGTGTGTGTGTGTGTGTGTGTGTGTGTGTGTGTGTGTGTGTGTGTGTGTGTGTACTCACCTAGTTGTGTTTGCGGGGGTTGAGCTCTGGCTCTTTGGTCCCGCCTCTCAACCGTCAATCAACAGGTGTACAGATTCCTGAGCCTATTGGGCTCTATCATATCTACACTTGAAACTGTGTATGGAGTCAGCCTCCACCACATCACTTCCTAATGCATTCCATTTGTCAACCACTCTGACACTAAAAAAGTTCTTTCTAATATCTCTGTGGCTCATTTGGGCGCTCACTTTCCACCTGTGTCCCCTTGTGCGTGTGCCCCTTGTGTTAAATAGCCTGTCTTTATCTACCCTATCAATTCCCGTGAGAATCTTGAATGTAGTGATCATGTCCCCCCTAACTCTTCTGTCTTCCAGCGAAGTGAGGTTCAATTCCCACAGTCTCTCCTCGTAGCTCATACCTCTCAGCTCGGGTACTAGTCTGGTGGTGTGTGTGTGTGTGTGTGTGTGTGTGTGTGTGTGTGTGTGTGTGTGTGTGTGTGTGTGTGTGTGTGTGGGGTGTGTGTGTAATTACCTAAGTGTAGTTACAGGATGAGAGCTACGCTCGTGGTGTCCCGTCTTCCCAGCACTCTTTGTCATATAACGCTTTGAAACTACTGACGGTCTTGGCCTCCACCACCTTCTCCCCTAACTTGTTCCAACCGTCTACCACTCTGTTTGCGAAAGTGAATTTTCTTATATTTCTTCGGCATCTGTGTTTAGCTAGTTTATATCTATGACCTCTTGTTCTTAAAGTTCCAGGTCTCAGGAAATCTTCCCTATCAATTTTATCAATTCCTGTTATTATTTTGTATGTAGTGATCATATCACCTCTTTTTCTTCTGTCTTCTAGTTTTGGCATATTTAATGCCTCTAACCTCTCCTCGTAGCTCTTGCCCTTCAGTTCTGGGAGCCACTTAGTAGCATGTCTTTGCACCTTTTCCAGTTTGTTGATGTGCTTCTTAAGATATGGGCACCACACAACTGCTGCATATTGTAGCTTTGGCCTAACAAAAGTCGTGAACAATTTCTTTAGTATATCGCCATCCATGTATTTAAATGCAATTCTGAAGTTAGAAAGCATCGCATAGGCTCCTCGCACAATATTCTTTATGTGGTCCTCAGGTGATAGTTTTCTATCTAGAACCACTCCTAGATCTCTTTCTTTATCAGAATTCTTTAAAGACTTCTCACATAATATATAGGTTGTTTGGGGTCTATGTTCTCCTATTCCACATTCCATAGCATGGCATTTATTAACATTAAATTCCATTTGCCAAGTGGCGCTCCATGTACTTATTTTGTCCAGGTCTTCTTGAAGGGCATGACAATCATCTAAGTTTCTTATCCTTCCTATTATCTTAGCATCATCAGCAAACATGTTCATATAATTCTGTATACCAACTGGTAGATCATTTATGTAGACAATAAACATCACTGGTGCAAGAACTGAACCCTGTGGTACTCCACTTATGACATTTCTCCAGTCCGATACATTGCCTCTGATCACAGCCCTCATTTTTCTAACAGTCAGAAAAATTTTCATCCATGTTAGAAGCGTACCTGTCACCCCTCCAATATTTTCCAGTTTCCAGAACAACCTCTTATGTGGAACTCTGTCGAAAGCCTTTTTTAGGTCCAGATAGATGTAGTCAACCCAACCATCTCTTTCCTGTAATATCACTGTTGCTCGATCATAGAAACTGAGTAAATTCGATACACAGGATCTTCCAGATCGAAAACCATACTGTCTGTCTGATATTATATCATTTTTCTCCAGGTGTTCTACCCATTTAGTTTTAATTATTATAAGTGTGTGTGTGTGTGTGTGTGTGTGTGTGTGTGTGTGTGTTGTACTCACATAGCTGTGTTTGCGGGGGTTGAGCTCTGGCTCTTTGGTCCCGCCTCTCAACCGTCAATCAACAGGTGTACAGATTCCTGAGCCTATTGGGCTCTTATCATATCTACACTTGAAACTGTGTATGGAGTCAGCCTCCACCACATCACTTCCTAATGCATTCCATTTGTCAACCACTCTGACACTAAAAAAGTTGTTTCTAATATCTCTGTGGCTCATTTGGGCACTCAGTTTCCTCCTGTGTCCCCTTGTGCGCGTGCTCCTTGTGTTAAATAGCCTGTCTTTATCTACAGTATCAATTCCCTTCAGAATCTTGAATGTGGTGATCATGTCCCCCCTAACTCTTCTGTCTTGCAGCGAAGTGAGGTTTAATTCCCGTAGTCTCTCTTCGTAGCTCATACCTCTCAGCTCGGGTACTAGTCTGGTGGCAAACCTTTGAACCTTTTCCAGTTTAGTCTTATCCTTGACTAGATATGGACTCCATGCTGGGGTTGCATACTCCAGGATTGGCCTGACATATGTGGTATACAAAGTTCTGAATGATTCTTTACACAAGTTTCTGAATGCCGTTAGTATGTTGGCCAGCCTGGCATATGCCGCTGATATTATCCTATTGATATGTGCTGCAGGAGACAGGTCTGGCGTGATATCAACCCCCAAGTCTTTTTCTTTCTCTGACTCCTGAAGAATTTCCTCTCCCAGATGATAACTTGTATCTGGCCTCCTGCTCCCTACACCTATCTTCATTACATCTCATTTGGTTGGGTTAAAATCTAACAACCATTTGTTCGACCATTCCTTCAGCTTGTCTAGGTCTTCTTGAAGCCTCAAACAATCCTCTTTTGTTTTAATCCTTCTCATAATTTTAGCATCGTCCGCAAACATTGAGAGAAATGAATCGATACCCTCCGGGAGATCATTTACATATATCAGAAACAAGATAGGACCGAGTACAGAGCCCTATGGGACTCCACTGGTGAATTCACGCCAATCGGAGGTCTCACCCCTCACCGTAACTCTCTGCTTCCTATTGCTTAGGTACTCCCTTATCCACTGGAGCACCTTACCAGCTACACCTGCCTGTCTCTCCAGCTATGTACCAGCCTCTTATGCGGTACTGTGTCAAAGGCTTTCCGATAATCCAAGAAAATGCAGTCCGCCCAGCCCTCTCTTTCTTGCTTAATCTGTGTTACCTGGTCATAGAATTCTATTAGGCCAGTCAGGCAAGATTTACCCTCCCTGAACCCATGTTGTCGATTTGTCACGAAGTCCCTTCTCTCCAGATGTGCTACCAGGTTTTTTCTCACGATCTTCTCCATCACCTTGCATGGTATA